AGAAAAGAAAGAAAGACAGACAGACAGACAGACAGACAGACAGACAGACAGACAGACAGACAGACAGACAGACAGAAACAAAGAAACAAAGAAACAAAGAAAGAAAATAAAGAAATCAGGTTTCTGGTGTCAGCAGATTGAGCGTCATGTCTGCTAGGAAGTGTGTTGGTGGTGGGCGTGAACGCAGGGAGGATCCATCACTCACCTTCTGGCTCACCCTATGATGGGGATGAAGTCTGGAGGAGAACTGACGGTTTCCTCCTGTGAACCCCCTTTATACCAAAACGCTGCCAATACGCCATTATACAGTAGCTGGAAGTTAGAAACACGTTCAGCGCTCGGCTGGAACACGGCAGATACGCTGATATGTTGGAGAGAAGTTCTGGATAAGTTACTCAGAGGTTTAGGATCAGCTAGACGCCACGACTGATGAGGAACTGATGCTGAACAGATGTCAGCCATCAGATAACTGACCTGGAACTGATGGACCATGGATGGCAGACGCTGGAATACGGCGGGAGATTTTAGCATGCTCATAATTTCTCAAGGTACTCGCCGTATGTCGATGTACTTCAGCGTGCTCATAATACACAACGTACCCATAACTTAACCAACGTATGCCAGTTTTTTTGCCAGATTTTTCGAACGTCAGGCTGGTCTAAATCGTCAAGGTGTGACACCTGTGCCTCATACAAGTTGCTATGGAAACAGGATCAATCCACATTAATAAGCCATGGACTGTTTCAAGCTCTTAATTGACTGTAATGTTCACCTGACATGACACCTGACTCTTTGTAAAAACTCTTTACATCTATTCACTTTGACTGAAGCACCAATTGTTTACATTTACATCTGCAATATCCGTACTTTAACTGTAATATGCAATTACCTTCCACTGCACTTTAATTCAGATAGCTTCTGTCCAAACTTTATTTACTCATTTTATAGTAAAACCCATCTGTATATATGTTATTGTACATAACTGTAAAAAAAACAACTTACTATAGTAATATCCATCTCTATATTATATTTGGTACATATCCAGCTGTTAATTTAGTTCATAACACTAGTTATCTATATACTATATTCATCTATTATTAAAATTCTGTTTATAATGGTATTCATCTCTATATTTATTCAGTAGAACCATGTCCTGTAACTATGGAACCATTATCTATCCTGCACTGCTGCTGTTGTACTTCTGGTTAGACCTAAACTGCATTTCGTTGCCCTGTACCTGTACCTGTGCAATGACAATAAAGTTGAATCTAATCTAATCTAATTAGTGTTCACCAAACATCAGAATCAGATAGTTGTAGTCTGGATTCCAAAAAAATTAAAAGCAATCCACTGGACTGTACAGGAGAGTGGAGGACCTCGTCTATTCATCCAGGCCAACTATTCCCTCTAACGACCCCCCTTTCAGAGACATAGACAGGTATGGGGCATTGCAGGCTAACAAAGAAGCCAAATGACCCCCATTCCAAAGGGGGGGACCCGTTCATCCGTTTCTATTTGCATGTTTTCTAAACTAAAACCAGGCTTTGTTGGGCTGCTGGATAAAACCTGGAACTAAACAATATTTCTGACATTTTGAATTGAAAAATCTTCCTGGATGGAAGAGAAACGTCTTTAAACTTGGTAGTCTGGATATTAATCTTTGTCAGTGTTGGACCATTTGGCCGATGGACTCATTTTATTTTATTTTATACTGATTCTGTTAGTCTACCATATAGAACCACCCAGCATGTTATGGCACAGCTTTGCTTTTCATCAGGGTTCCTCAGGTCCAGTCCTGGAGGTCTGCTATCCTACACCTTCAAGACGTGTCTCTGCTTCACCACACCAGAGTTCAATCAGCAGCTCATTAGCAGGACTCTGCAGACTTGTGTGATTTTCTATCATTCTGTTAAAGATTTAAGATGTTGGCAACACTGATGGCTCCCCATAACCAGTAGGTTAGTTTATGACCACCAGCACTTTTTGGAGTTGTGGTATTCAAGTGTTTTTTCTGGACTCCTAAATAAAACTACTCTCGACCGAGTGCTTTGGGCACGAGGCTAAATACAAAAGAGGCCATCAGTATTCTACCCCAGGCTATCTCTGAGCTCCTATCTGCACACAGAGAGTGTTTTAATCATTGCTGGGGGTTTTAACCAGGCTAATATAAAGACTGTGTTAACTCCTGCATACAGGCCCCAGCTGATCAGAGCAAAACCTACAGTGAAGCAGGTGAGGGTGTAGGAGGAGGGGGCCTGTTAGGCCCACCGTGCAGAGAGAGTTAGTTTTAAGTCCCGTCATCCTGGCTGCAGGTTGGAGCAAGTTTAAAGTTCTGCAGTTCTCCTGGTACCATGTCTTGTCTCTGTTCCTCTCTACCACTGAGCCCGCCTGTCTCCATCTGAGCGTGTCTGTCTGAGCTCGCTGGTGGACTCTTTGAACTCTGAACCTGCATCACAGCATGCTTCAGCAGTCAGTGGAGGTCCAGCAGGTTCTGCAACAGCTTTCCCGTGCTGCCATCACACTGATGAACTGATAAACTCTAAACTGGACTGTTATACTGCATTTTACACCATATTTCTTGTTGCACTTCACGGAACCTTTACATATCAGTGCCCATTGTACCACTATTTTAGAATAGTTTACTTTTACCCTTAATGGTTTAAATTCTGACCACTGCTGCACTTAATAATGGTAATGTTTATCTACTCCAACTGCAATATCATTACACTGTTGTAAGCTTTATGCAACAAAATGCCATTTTGTATGCACTGTGTGCTTACAAAATGACAATAAAGTCTGTCTAAGTCTAGACAAATTCCAAAGAGCGTGCTCTGATTCAGACTCATTTAGGGCTGGACGGTCCACTACGTGTTTGGGACGGCCCTTAATGTGGGAATGCACAGACAGAGGGTTGGAATTTAGGGCCCAGTTTGGGATTCAGCCTAATAAAAGCTAATTATTATTTTTTTCTTTATATATTTCATAAAATAGAAAATTTGAAAGTTACAATTTATATGCTAGAATTGATACTTAAGAATCTTACATTTTGGAAAAAGTCATGTATTTTGAATGTAGGTTTATTTCTATTACAAACATTGAGAAATTGTGAAAAGGTAAAGCAGTTAGAATTACTGAAGTTAAATAACATTCAGACATTTTGAAAAGTTTTTCTCAATAAATCTTTATTTCTACACTATTAAATCTTATTTGATATTAATTTCAACCTAACTTATGGACTCCATCTTCAGCATCTTTTTTTAGCGTGTTTCAGAAGAAGCTTTTGGCTGCAGACTGAGGAGGTAATTCAGTCATTAAATACACGATTAGAAGCATCTAAAATATGCAGACAGACCTCCAGGTCCAAACCCTGCTCTACATTATGTTTTTTTTTTTTTTTTTAAACAGTGCTTCATCATTAGAGTATGAACCAGTGTTTGAATGACCTTCAACCTTTCAGATAACCAACAAAGAGTTGAATGTGAGACCAATGGGCTCTATGCACAGCTCCACTACTTCCTGAATTTAAGGCAGCTCCTTTGTTTCCTGTCTTTCATTACTGGACGAACTGATTAATCCAGGTGTGTCTGGCCAGTTACTTAGGTCATACACACCTGGCTTCATTTCAATCAACGATCTGTTAAATAAAAAAAATTAAAAAAAACATGACATCCAAGCAGAAACACAATCAACCATTGGTTGTTTAATATAATTCATTTATTATTTAATATTAATCCCACTTATTTAATTTAGTCAATAATTTCTGTGCACAAAGCATGTGGAAAGTTGGAGTAATTAGTGGATCAAAGCTCGACTTGGCAGCATCCCTTTGCCCTGAACTGGAGGAATTATCCACTGGAGTTGACTCCAGTAGTTGTGGAGAAATGGGAAGGATATAGAGACCCAGAAACACCAGACCAGGTGTACTTTCTATGGAAAAAGAAAACAGAAAAACTACAGGAGGAGAAAATGGCAGAGTATGGAAAAGAGGTCACCATGTACTCCAGCAGCCCAACCCTATACCTACAGAGATAGCTGAGGATGACCTGAACCACAACCTTTTAAGCAAATCAGAACGACTTCTAAAAGCTAATTAGATAAAGAAAAAAAAAATCTAGTTTTGATAAAACATTTTATCAGAGATCTTCTAGGGTATATTGTGGACTAATGAGTGCCTCCAAACTCATACAGACAACCATATACAGGTGACACATGTACTGGTTTACATCTGACCCATTTGGACCTTCCTCTGCTGTATCCATGAAGAGTTGTGGACTGGATCTTCTTAAAACCAGTCCAGTTCTACTTTCTCTAGTAGAGTTTGGAGTTAGAAGTGTTGGAGGGATGCTAACTGGATATGGGCCTCAACCCATGATGGCATTCATATTCCATGATCCCACCCACTACTATGCTAGAATCACCCAATGAAATATGAGCCGGTTGATCAATCAGTTTAAATCTATTAAACAACATCTTCAGGGTCTGTAATAGATTATTTTTTGAAATTCCCATTTCCATTTATTAATGATTAGAAACCGTCAGTCCAATCAAAGGATGTTCAGAACCAAAGGAAGGAAAAATGTAGAACTGTGGTGTTAGAGGATGAATGTTTATACTGAAAAAAAGAATATCAGCCACACCAGACAACCCAGAGGAAACAGTTGGTTAGAGCTGGATTGTCAGAAATGGATCACCTGGTCAGAACCAGCACTGAAGAAGGTGGTCTGACCCAATAGATATCAGCCTGCATCCAGCCTCTGATAAGCTTGATGCCTCTGGTATAAAGCAACCCAATATGACCCAGAATGGTTGGACCCAGAAGAAGGGTGACAATCCCAGTAGAACCTAATCAGAACCAGTAACCGACTACCTGCTGACTGTAACCTAAAGGATGATGCAAAGAAAAACAAGCTGAACCAGTCCTGCATGGACCAGAACCTCATTCACACTAAAAATATCTAGTTTAAAATAGATTAATAAACATTAATAACTAGAAATAACCACCAGGTTTTTGTTGTTTATGTGTTTTGTTCCTGCTGAGGATAGAGCAGCTGCTTCCACTCACCTCTGACTATGAGGACCACCACCTTCTGCTGCAGCCTCTTTCCATTCTCATCATAGATGGTGCAGGTATAAACACCGTCAGTGAGAGGGAAGTCCCTGATGGTCAGACTGAGGTCTCCAGTTGTTAATGGATCTTCATTCATCTCTGTGTGGCCTCCATAATCCTGATCCTCTGCTGGTATGTGTTGGCCTGTCTGATATTTGTAGAGCATCGTGTCTTCTACGTCTGTGAGTCTCCACTCCACAGTGATGCCCTCAGAGAGGAGGCGACGTGTTGCATGAAAGGGAAGAACTACGGACCTCTTTCCCTCGTCCACAGAAACCTTTTCCACCTTGTAGACTGAGAGCAGAGAGGAACATTGGTCTTTTTCTAGTAGCCTTTGTAGCCCAAAACGTCAACACAGATGAACAATGTAATGATTTAAAGAGTGCCTGCATAGAATAGTTTTCATCACTTAGTTCTGACATTCAGAGGATTCTAGCACCACTTAGTGACTGATGGAGGAAACAGTAGTGACGTATTCAGGAGAACGACTGAGAGCTGGAACAGTGCATTTATCAGGGACACCTGCTGAAGCTTTCATGGATTCAGATACAGCTTTAACTTCACATTGGGTCACAGCTTTCTGCTTCAACCCCCACAGGATGCTGTCGGATTATTTAAGTTCCTTAAGGATCCTGAGCTGCTTTTAAAGGGGGGTGAAGCAGATCAGATGAGATCTGGAGAACTTGAAGCACTCCACTGTGTTGTTGGGATCAAATGTATATTATGTAACCGGAACTACACCCTCTGAAGGCACACCCCTCTAGTGGAGTTTTAAAAAGACAAACTACTTCCATTCAACTTCCTGCTGCCAGCAGCCGCAGGTGCTAAAGGCTAGACTCTGAGCTCTTTCCAGCTAAAGGCTAAGCTAAAGTGGAAACCAAATCCGTCCGGAGAGGTCTCACTAGACCGAGTCAGCCTTTCTTTCCCCCCTATGATTCAAAAGAAGCAGCAGAGGAACCGCTACAAAAGGGCAGGGCCTACCAGCTAATCACCATAGCAAAAAGGGAAAGCTAATGCTCATTGGTCTGGCTAACATAGTAGCTCTGGCTACCTCATGATTAACACGGTATAAAAAAAAATAATAATTCACAAGCTAACCACTTCTTTGTTTTAGCTGGACACATCCAGACCACAACCCCTGTGACCAGCTAAGCTAGCCCATTTCTATTTGTGTCTCATTGCTGTTTAATACATCATAATGTTTGGGCAAACTTGCAAAACAGTGTCTCTTCTGTATTCTGACCATTTTAAGTCTGTTTTGATTTGGTTCCATTGTTAAAAGAGTCGCTGGGTTGCTCAGTGCAACATAAACATATCTTGCTACCAACAGCCGTAACAATGGTGACCCCATATGGTGCAGGGGCTTTTGCAAGAGTCGTGCCCAACCTGGATTGACTGTGAAGACAGCTAACGCTGCCGGAAATTCCACTAACCAACTAACAATTTCTAACCAACTAGAGATTGTGTAAGCAAGTGAAAGAGGCTACAGATAAGACCCATGATCAAATCTATTTAAACAAGTAATGGTGACAATGATTAAAACACACAAACCAGTTCCAAACTAAATGTTCTGGTAAAATCATCAGTTTTTCCATCACTCTCCATTATGGAGCTCTAAGCTAGCTCCAACAGTGTTCTCCCTCTGACGTCACCATGGAGATGGGTTTTTACCAGCTGTTCCTCAGATTGCTGGAGCTACTGAATGTAGGATATTAGTATTAAAAATAACTCTCTTTGGTTCCTAATAACCCAAAGCCACCTGGTTTGTCCTGCTGCATGATTGCAGTGTTGGGCAAGCTACTTGTCCAGTGTAGTGAGCTAAGCTATCAGTTACTCAGCAATAAATGAAGCTTCACTACACAAAAGCTACCACCTAAAGAATTATAGCAAGCTAAGTTACACTAATGTGTTAAAAGTAGCTTAACTACATCAGAAGCTACTTAACGTTGTACCAACCTAATGTCAATTCAAAATGAGTCTGATGCACTGGTTAAAATATTTATTAAAGATCAGCCAATGACATAACACAGTGTAAACATTGCTTTATGATCAGCATATTAAAATAAAAACTAAAGTAATTACTAGTAGACAAACTAGTAAACAATCTGCTGTTATTAGAACCAAATTAAAGTTACTGTGTAGTGTTCTACATATCGAGACATGGCTATGAGTTTGCATTCAATGGACATCTCTAGGGAAAACAAAACCCTACAAAAGACCTCAATTAAACAGTTGATTCAAGTAACAAACAAAACTGTTTACAAAAGAAGGTGAAAAAAATAAAGAAGCTAATTAAGTGATACATATATTTATGTCTCACCATATAATTTAATTTCTACCTACATATTTATTCATTGTATTTTTGGAGGCAATTAATTGAATGCTTATTTATTTATTTATTGAGCATTTATTTATTTATGTATTTATTTCATATACGGTAGAGCTGTTCCTCCATAAAAAATGTTATCTGTGCACAGCCTAAAAACAGATTTATGTAAACATCCTTTCAGTAAACTAGGCCATGAAAATACAATATCAAAGTTTCACTACACTACTGCTCTCTAATTAGAGTATCTTAGTGGCACATATGGGAGAATTATCCTGCCATAATGCAAGAGCACATAACTTCAATTAGAGAAAAGAATTTCATCTTCTTGCTCTCAAAACTTATAATGCTCACACTCCAAACATGCGCTCTCTCTCAAATATTTTCTCTTCTCTCAAAAATCTTTGTTTCTTCTCTCAGATTTAAACAGATATTTTCTATATTATCACAGATATTTTCTCCTCTCGCTTGCCTCCTTCTCTTCGCGCACAAACCGCGCTCTGCACGGGTCTCAGTTACGCTCGCAAACCCATAGGCTCTGCTTGCGGATTTGTTTTGCTCTCTCAGACTGCATTTGGATCGTTGCCTAGCAACCTTTCCAGCCAATAGAACGACAGCCTCGGAAAGGGTGCGCTTGTTTAACCCTACTGAGTGTGCCTGTGCTACTACGCCACTTATAAAGCGTCAGCTGAAACTGCTATTTACAGTAGTTTTGTGGCTGATTGTTGTTTAGAAATAGAAAACCTGGTTTCATTTCTTAGTTATGCCCTGGATTTTGTAGCGTTTGTGGACGCTACGTCGCTACTTGATCAAAACAATAACGTCGCTACAGGAAAGTTACTTGATAAATAAAGCAGCGACGCTACGGTCAAGCTACTGGAAAATGTAGTTAAACTAATAGCTTCGCTACATGTAGCGGCGCTACTGCCCATCACTGCATGATTGCAATGCAAAATTACAAAATCACAAAATTAACTTACATCTATATGGCATCTTCAACTTTACTAACCTCTCACAGTGAGCATCACTGTCTTCCGTGCCAGTATTTTCCCATCTTTGTTGTAGATGGTAGAGATGTAGACGCCGCTGTCTTCCAGTTTGGGATCCTTTAGAGTGAGGGTCAGATCTTTAGTCTTCACAGCGTCAGGTCTCATGTCTGTGCGGTCCTGGTACTCATGGTTCTGTCTCTCTAACTGGTTTTGACACTCCTGATATTCATGTACAGTGTTGGGTTTATCAGTGTGGTTCCAAACCACTTTAGCATCATGGGGCAGGTGAGCTAATGTTTTAAAAGGCAGACGGACAACATCTTCGCTCACTGTGACATCTACCTCCTCCATCAGGCTCTCTGTCAGGGATAGAACCAGAGATGCATTTCAAACCAGACATCCAACAGCCCAACAACCACTATTGAGCATTTTTCCTTTGGATAAACTTTACATGCACAAGTGCACTTTCACAAACAACTACAGGTGCTTGGTTCCAGGTACTCAGAGATTCACATCCACACAGAAAGCCCATATTCTGATCTTCAGGTAACACAGAGTACATGTCAGATTAAAAAATACTACTTATACTTCAGCGATAGTTTCAAGGTGTTGCTTTACTGTATGTCTCGTACCATGTCAGTTGGTTGTGCTGTTCTTTTTCCATCTCTTTGCAGGTGATGAAGCAGACTAAAAATGTTTTATCATTATCTCCCTTTTATCTCCTCTTTCTTTCATCTTTTCTCCTTTTTTCTGTTTTTCCTCTTCTATTCTGTTTACATTGCAGTATCCAAATAATCTGTAAAACTCCCTGCATGATTATAATAAAGCTATTTATATGCATAAATCAAGCGGAACACTATGGCGATAGCTGTACTGCTCCACTTGTGAAAGCAAAATCTGTTGGGCTCTTTTTGGCATCAAGACAATAATTTTTATTGCCACATTGCCAGACAGGACACGGTAAAAAGAACAACAACTTTAAAATCATTGCTGCTAAGAGCAGGTGGAATGGACGGTTCAACAGAGCTATGGCTCTGGGTGAGTTTGGCAACTGTATTAAAAAGAAATCTAGGATTATTCTTATTCTCCTCTATTAATGAGGAGAAGGGTCCTCTTATACAGCAGTAAACCATTTTTCCAGACTAGGAAGGACTCTCGCAGGCCTGTGGAGCAATATTTTCTCTCCAGTTTCCTAGCATTTTGCTTCAAAGTACGCAGCTCTGCATTAAACCAAGGAGCCAGCTTTCTATTTTTAACATTTTTCATTTTCAAAGGAGCTGCGTTGTCTAAGGCAGTACGCAGAGAACTAGCAACCCCATCAACAAAATCATCAACCTGTGAAGGGGAATAAGCTATGCTTTTGCACTCTGCAGCACTGCTCAGCGACACAGAGGAGAGAGAAAGTGAAGCAGATTCTTTAAAATGTATAACTGCTCTATCTGATAAAGATCTACTAAAATGTAACCTTCTTTTGGGGGAGGAGAACTCTGTTAAAGTAATCCTGAAGGTTATTAGAAAGTGGTCAGAGAGGACAGGGTTGTGAGGAAATACTGTTATTTCTTCACATTCTATGCCGTATGTCAGCACAAGATCCAAAGTATGAAGATGAGAATGTGTGGGACTATTCACATTTTGAACAAAGCCAATAGTGTCTAAGATAGCATTAAAGGCTGCTCTTAAGCTATCGCCTTCAATGTCAGCATGGATGTTAAAATCTCCCACTATGATGACCCGGTCAGTATTTAATACCAAATCAGAAAGGAACTCTGAAAACTCATCTAAAAATTCAGAGTAAGGACCTGGTGGACGATACAAAGTTACAAAAAGAAGAGGTTTTCTTGCCTTGAAATTTGGATCAGGGAAATTAAGGGTTAAATGATCAAAGAGTTGTAGGTATTAACTGTTTTGGGAGTAATCAGTAAGTCAGACTGGAAGATTGTTGCTACTCCTCCTCCTCGCCCAGAACTTCTGGGGATGTGAAAATTTAAATAGCTTGAAGGAGTTGCCTCATTTATGCTCACATAATCCTCTTGCTGCAGCCAGGTTTCTGTAAGGCAACACAAGTCAATGTGATTATCACAAATCAAGTCATTAACTAGCAGACTTTTAGAGGAAAGAGATCTTATGTTAAACAGACCACATTTAATCGTTTTAACTTTTTCCCCAATTGGAGTTATTTTTATTTTATTTAAATTATACTCCTTTTCCAATTTATTAGAATCAGAATCAGAAATACTTTAATAATCCCAGAGGGAAATTACTTTTGTTACACGCTCCAGTGATAGTTTTATATATATATATATATATATACACACATTCAACAACACAAGACGTAGCTGCCATCAGAGTCAACTCATCTAAATATTCTAATAGTTAGTTAAAAACGAGAGTTAATACATAATAGTATTGAAATTAAAAAGTTCAATCATAAATAAATAACTTTCAGTAAATGTATGTTTATGTACATTGGTTAAAATAGCTCAATAAAATGTAAGGAGGAACCTTTGTTTTTTGTTCCGCATTTCACGTTGTTGCCCATGGGAAGACACAATTCTTTTTTTTGCACCTTTTTCTTCAAGATGTTTCACCAGAAAGCTTTAAGCTTGGTTTTCTGAGAAAAGCTGTATAAGTTATCTTTATTCCTCTGGAGTTTATCTGTTTTACTTATATTTATTTGTGTAAAAATGTATATTTGTCTTGAGCTAATTTGGGTTCTGTTTCCCTTTTTAGTTCTGACGGCATTTTTGGGGGCTTTATAAGACGTGTCCGCAATAAATGGCTGTTAAAAACCAAAGAACGACGTTGAGCCTTGATTATCTCTAGAGGAGTAACACAAGATAATAAAGATAAAAATAAAAATAAAAAAAGAGATAAAACATATTCACATATAGCTCTTCTGTATATGTATATGTACGTATATCTATGCATATGTAAAAACTAAATCCAAGTAAAGTGATAAATCCAAGTAAAGTGATACGTGACGTGCAAAAATAGTGCATAAATGTAAATAACGGGGGGGCTGAAACACTTGAGGAAGGCGTTATAGAGGTTGATGACCACAGGTAGGAATGATTTCCTGTGGCGCTCTGTGGTGCATCTGGGTGGGAGGAGTCTCCTGCTTAAGGAGCTGGTCTGCTGGACCAGTGTGTCGTGGAGAGGATGTGAGTCATTGTCTAAGATGGACTGAAACCTGGACAGCATCCTCCTCTCTGCCACGGTGGTCAGGGTGTCCAGCTGCTCCCCCACAACATCACCGGCCCTCTTGATCAGTTTGTTCAGTCTGTTGTCAGCGACCCTCAGCCCACTGCCCCAGCATGTGACAGCAAAGAAGAGCGTGCTAGCAAAAACAGACTCATAAAACATCCTCAGTATCGTCCCACAGATGTTAAAGGACCTCAGCCTCCTCAGGAAGAATAGTCGGCTTTGGCCCTTTTTGTAGACAGCCTCGGTGTTTCTAGTCCAGTCCAATTTATTGTTAAAGTACAATCCCAGGTACTTCTATTCCTCCAGGGGAGTTTTAATTTTTGGGTTTTGTTTTTTCAAACACTGTTTTGGATGGGTAAAGAGTGGTAAATTAGAGAAGCTGCAGAAGGTCTTTAAACAACTCTGTTTTCCCTGTCTGCACCCTGGGAGCAGACATATTGAAACCCAATGGGCATGAAATCAACTTTAGAAATGTTTCAGAAAAAAAAAAAATGTTTCAGACCAATTAAATGCTTTGGGACGTGTGGATGCCCAAAATCCCCAACAAAGGAAGAGGTTTTGGGAAAAAATTTGGAAAAAAAAGGATGGATGGATGGATGGATGGAGGGGATGGATGGAGGGATTTTTGGGGGATGATGGATGAATGATGAAGGGATGGTTTTGGAGGGAAAGAGGGAATGGGGGAAAGAGGGATGATGGATGGATGGTGAATAATGAATTTTGGAGAATGGAGGGAGGGAGGGTTTGGAAAGGAGGGATGGGGGTGGATGGATGGATAAAGGGGATGGGGGAGGGAAGGATGGATGGAGGGATGATGATAAAGGGAGGAATTGGATGAGGGAAAGGATGGTTTGGGGATGGTTTGGATGAATGAAAAATGAAGGATGGAGGGAGGGATGGAGGGAGGGAAAACTTGGTTGGATGGATGGATGGATAAAATGATAAATTTGGATGGATGGATGGATGATGGATGGATGGTTTGATGGAAATGGAAAAGGAAGGGATGGAGGGAGGGAAAGGTTGATGAAGGGGATGGATGGAGGGATGATGGAAAAAGGAGATAAAATGGATGGAGATGAATGGATGGATGGAGGGATGGATGGAGGATAAAAAGGGTTGGATGGATGGATGGAGGGATGGATGGAGGGATGATGAAGGGTATGATGATGGAGGGGAGGGATGGATGGATGGAGGGATGGATGGTTTGGATAAATGTAGGGAATGAATGGATGGATGGATGGAGGGTTTGGATGGATGAGGGTTGGAGGAGGGATGGATGATGAATGGATGGTTTGAGGGAAATTGGGAGGGATGAATGTATGATGAATGGAGGGGAGGGAAATGGATGATAAAAGGGGATGGATGATGAAGGGAAATGGATGGTTTGGAAAGGGAATGGTTGGAGGGATGAATTTATGATGAATGGATGAAGGATGGAGGATGGATGGTTTGAATGAAAGATGAATGGATGAAGGGAGGGATAAATGAAGGGAAATGGATGAGAATGGATGGAGGGATGGATGGATGGTTGGAGGGAATGGTTTGGAAAATGGATGGGGGAAATGGATGGTTTGGAGGGAAAACGGATGGAGGGTTTGGATGGAGGGAAAGGATGAGGGAAAGGATGGATAAAATGGAGGGAAAGGAGGGAAAGAGGGAATTGATGGATGGATGGATGATGGATGGTTGGATGGATGGAGGGGAAAGAATGGAGGGTTTGGGGGAAATAAAGGGATTTTGAAGGAATGAATGATGAAAGGGATGGGGGGAAGGGAAATGAAAAATGGAAAGGATGAGGGGAAAGGGAAAGGAGGGTTGGAGGGAGGGGAATGGGGGATGTTTGGATGATGAAGGGAGGATAAAATGGAGGGATGGATGGAGGGAAAAGGATGGATGGATGGAAAATTATAAATGAAGGGGAGGGAAAGGAGGGATGATGAATGGAGGGAAAGATGAAGGGGGAAAGGAGGGAAGGGAATTTTTTGGGGTTGGAGGGAGAATGTTTTAATGAATGGTGGATGATGGATGGATGGATGGTTGAATTTTAAAGGGATAAATTTTTGGTTTAAAAGGAAAGGATAAATAAAATGGAGGGAAATAGGGTTTGGGAAAGGGGAGGATGGAGGGATGGGGGAGGGAAGGATGGAGGGAGGGGAATGGATGGATGGGAAGGAAAGGGTAGGGGAAGGTTTGGATTAAGGGAAATAGGGATGGAGGGAAAGGGATGGATAAATTTTGGAGGGAAATGGATGGATGTAAGGTTTGGAGGGAGGGGTTTTGGATGATGGATGGATGGATGGGGGGATGGAGGGAAGGGGGGGGAAAGGGAAAGGGAATGATTGATGGATGAGGGGTTTTTGTTTGGAAAAGAGGGAGGGATGGAGGGAAAATGGATGGAGGGAAGGTTGGATGGAGGGAGGGTATGGTTGGGATGGTGGAGGGGGAAAATGGATGTGGGGGAAAGGATGATATGGAGGATGGGAGGGAGGTTTGGATGGATGGGAAATGGGAGGGAATGGATTGAGGGTTTGGAGGGATGGAGGGAAGGGATAAAAGGGATGGATGGAGGGAAAGGAGGGGTGGATGGAAGGGGGAAGGGATTGAGGGAATGGAGGGAAGGTTGGAGGGAATGTGAGTTTTGTTTTTTGGAGGAGAGGAGATGGAAATTAGGTTTATGGAGGGATGTAATAAAGGATGGTTTTTTGGATGGAGGGGGTGGATGAGGAAATGGAGGTATGGGATTGGGAATGGGAATGGTGGATTGGATGGATTGTTGGGATTTGGATTTTTTGAGGATTGGAAGGATGAATTTGGGGGGAAATCCCTGGGGGCCCTGGATGGACTGGTTTTGGTGGATGGTGGGGAATTAGGAAAAAAAAGGATGGTTTTTGGAGGATGATGATGGGTTTTGGACCCATGGAAAAGAGGGATGGTTTTAAGGTTTGATGGAGGGGATATGATTGAAGGGAAATGGAGGGTGAAAGGGATGGGAGAGGGATGGAAGGATGGATGGATGGAATGGGAGGAAGGGATGGAGTTTATTGGGAGGATGGTTTGGTGGATTGGGATTTTGGATTGGAGGGGAGGGGATATCGGAATTGAAGGTGGAAAATTTTGATTTGAAGGGAATTGGAGGGATGGAAATTTTAAGGAGGGAAGGATGAGGATGAAATTGGAGGGGAAAATGTTTGTATGGGTTTGGAGGGTTTGGTTTTGGAGGGGTTGGAGGATGTAGGATATTGAAAAATGGAAGGGGATGGATTTGATTGGATGGATGGAATGAATGGTTTAATTATGATAAATTGAGGGAGGGAGAGAGGAGGATTTTGGGAATTAAGGGGGATGGCTGTTTTGGATTGGGAATGGAGGGGGGGGATTTTATTTATTTTTTGGGAATGGATGTAGGGATGGAATTTTTAAAGCTTTCTTTTAAGGATGATAGTATTTTTGGTATTTGTTTTTGTATGGTTTGAAAATATGTTTTTGGTTTTTGGATGGTGATGGTTTGGATGGATGTTTTTGGATTGATGGGAATTTTTTTGGAAATTTTTAGGGTTTTGAATTTTTTGGGAGGAGCGGTTTAATGGGAGGAGGATGGAGGCTGGAAGGATATGGAGATGGATGGAATGGATTTTTGGTTTGGAGAGAATTAGGGAAGGAAGGGATGGAAGGGTTTGATTTTTGGCTTTTTATGGAGGAGGAAAGGAAATTTTAATGGATGGAAGGAGGGAAATGGGGTTTTTGGGTAAATTTTGGGATTCTGGAGGGGGTTGATGGATTGGGTTTTTGATTGAGGAGGAGAAGGAGAGGAGGAAGAGGGTTTTAGGGATGGTTTTGAAAGGAAAGTTTTTTGTAAAAATGGGAAATTGAATTTTTTAAATTGGAAAAGGGAAAAAATGGAAATGGATTAGCTGAAAGGGATGGATGGGTTTAATGTTTCATGGGTTTTTGGGAGGATTTTTTTAATTTTTAGGGATTATGGGTTTTGGATTTTGATGAAAGGATATGGATTGGACTTGGTTTGGTTTTGGAAGGGTAGGGATGGAGGGTTTGGATTTGTTTAAAATTTTTGGAGGGAGGATTAGTAGGGATGATATGGAATGTTTTAATGGAAGGTGATTTTATGGAAGGTAAAAGGTGGGGGATGATAGTTTTATGGATGGAGGAAATTGGAATATTTTGATTTTTTTAAAGGATAAAAAAATAATAAAAGTAAAACCCCAAGCTGGAGGCCCCCTTTTTCTTGGAAACCCTTTTGGATCAGCCCCCCCCAAGCCCCCCGGGTCCCCGTTTCCCCCCACCCCCGCAGGTCCCCCTCTGTAACCCCCAAACCAAGCCCCCCCCCCCTTTCCCTCCGCTGGGTCCTTCAAGTCAACTGAGGTTCCCCCTGTAGCCCCAAAATTTTTCGCTCTCATCTTTTTTTCTCCCCCTTCATAGATGTTCTCCTGTTCCTCAGGCGGGGTTTTCGGTTTGTTCTAAAACCCCGGGACTCTGATGTTCTGGTCAGAACGGGTCCACTCCACTCTGACATCCTGGGGAAAGGCTCTGTTGGCTTTTAGGGGCAGCAGGACAGACTTCTCCCCTTCTCTGATCTCCACTGTTTCCGACCTAAGCTCTGAAAAGCAAGGAGAATATATCAGTTCCATAACTGCTAGAAGTTAAAAGACTTAATAAGAGAGAACAAAATCAAAGTAGCAAACACTGTAGAACATAATTTAAAGCAGAAGAACATCATCATGTTCCAGAGAGTGGAGACCAGAGAGCCTCAGGTGGAGGTGGGACTCGGCTTCCACAGCTTTTCTAGCTTAATACTTGTTGCTGTTTGAACCAGGAAAAGTTCAAAGTTTCAATTTTTTAACTAATTTCTAAAGAAAAAAATCAATGTGATCATCAGGCCTTACCGTCAGAATTAGAACATCTCAGAGGGGCTGACAAAGATGAGCTACGTATGTATGTATGGTTCTACAAATCCCATACAAGTGACACCAGGAGTTTAGTTCCTGGATCTTCTCTCGAGCCCAGTGATATAGAGTAGTGTTAATTTTTTCCGCCATTTTTAAATTTAGTTTCAGTTTTAGTCCAGTTTCAGCATCGCTTGTTAGTTTTTATCACATTTAGTCTAAATTTGGACTAAAACCAGTTAGACTATTGTTTGGTGAATCATTAATCACCTTAAGAAACAACCCACGGACTTGATTAAGAGAAAGAAAAACTCTTGTGTCTCATCAGGGTTTATTTATTTGTTTGTTATTGTTGTTTTCTTGTTGTGTTTATTGTCTATATCTATAAGAAAATATTAATATTATTCAATACCTTCCTAAATGTATGAAAAAGTATGCATTAAAATACAATAACTTAACTTTCTGTCGGATGGTGTTTATTCACACACAGGCTCCACAGTCAAATCTTTCGGATTGCCATTCCAACAAACCTGGCTGTAGTCAGGCGCCTAGCCTCAATTAGCATTACACCAGCTATTGTCCCAGATCCTTAATTAATGTGGATATTAAAATAATCTGTAAAGCTTTAGCAAAATGATTAGATAAAGTCACTCCTCTCATAATCCACCCTGATCAAACTGGTTTCATTAAAGGGAGGCAGTCAGCTGCTAACACACGCAGACTGCTGAATTTAATAGATTATTCCTACAGCAAAAATCTTAAATCCTATATATTGTCCTTAGATGCAGAAAAAGCATTCGATAGAGTAAACTGGACATTTCTATTGAGCCTCTAGCTGCTACAATCAGACAAACTAATGTGGTTAAAGGTATAAAAGGCCTGAAAATAGAGCATAAAATTAGTCTTTACGCAGATGATGTATTACTTTATCAAACACTTGCCTCTCTCAAGTAATTAGTTTACTAGAATCTTTCTCAGAGGTCTCAGAATTCTCTATAAATTGGTCTAAATCTATAATACCACCAATTAATTGCTCTCTACAGAATCCCTCAGGTCTACAATCTGGAAATATCAAATATTTGGGAATTACTGTGTCATCTAAACTAGCTGAGTTACCAAAACTCAACCACACCCCTCTTTTAAAGAAAATAGAAGAGATGAAAGATGGAAATCGCTTCCGATCTCCCTTATGGGTCGGGTAGCCTCAATTAAAATGATGGTCTTACCCAGAATTAACTACCTATTTTCAATGATCCCAAATAAACCATCAACCGAATGGTTTAAATCTCTAGATTCTTCCATCTCTACATTTCTTTGGAAGGACAAACCTCCTCGTATCAGCTTAAAAACACTACAGAAAACTAAAGACAGATGTTTTAAAAATATTAACATCAGCTCTTCCCTGACAGCATGGTGGGAATTTCTAAAAATAACGAACTCATCACTTATCCCGTGCAGTCATACACCCATCTGGAATAACCCTGACATTCTACAAAATAATAATGTGATAAACTTTCCGTACTGGAAGAATAAAGGTATAAACTATCTGGATCATTTATTTGAAGGTACGGAGTTTATCACATTCGCTAGATTAAATTTGCAATATGGCATTAACAAAAATAAATTCTTAGAATATGAGTTAATTAAAACTATAATTAGAAATAAATTCAAGCATATTGATGGAGGTTTAAAAATTCCAACTAATATACCAGAGTTTCTAGAGTTAACCCCCCCCAAACTACTGTCTAAGTTATACAGGACACTGACTAAACTGGATGATCCAATATCTCTTCCTATTACTAAATGGGAGGAGGATTTATCAGTTAGCTTTGAACAAAACATCTGGGCTCAGATATGTCTAAGAACTTTTAACATGACTAGAAACCCCAATTTACAATTAATACAATACAAAATCCTCCACAGAGTGCACTATACAGGTCAAAGATTATTCAAGATGGGGTTTGCACAATCTAACATCTGTCCACAGTGCACAGGCAATCAACTTGATAATTATTTTCACGCGTTATGGTTCTGCACGCCGGTTCAGAGGTTAGGGGTTCAGGTATGTAAGGATCTATCACTGTGCCTGGGTTGTAAAATCCCAATTTCCCCTTCAGTATGCCTGCTGGGTGACTTTGAGGGAAGCTCTATGGGAAAAAAATCAGTTTGCATGGCCTTCACTGCGTTATGTATCGCAAAGAAAACTATCCTCATGACAAAGAAAGAAAGAAAGATTTTCTCTACCATGTTCTAGTATGACGTGTTTTAACTTTTTGGAATAAGGCTGTGACATAAAATATGGAGAAAGTGAAACTTTCTGGATGCACTGTAAAGGTAGTTGAAATTTAATTCTGAGTAAACACTCAATGGTTGGACTGGGTAAGAATACTTATGGAGGACTCTGCAGCCTTCATCAAATCTGGGCTGGTTCATCCTCTATCCAGTGACCAACATACCTGCTGTGTGCTTCTTTTTCCATCTGTAGTACCAAACAGCTGCTGGACCAACCAGCAGAACTACAGGGATCAGAACCCCAAGCAGAACCCAGGGCCAGACAGGAGGAGGAGCTTCTGCAGACACCATTAACAGAGAGAGAAGCTAATGTTTCCAATGATGTCTAAATACCTTTAGATCATCCAGAGAAGCTTCCTCTCTGACCTTTGACCTGCAGCTCCACAGTTTCTTGGTGCAGATCTTCTCCCATCCTGCGGACGGTGCAGGTGAAGTTCCCGCTGTCGGTGAAGGTGGGTTTCCTCAGAGTCAGACTGAGGTCTCCGGTCTGCAGAGCGTCCTCCATCATTGAGGTCCGACCTTCATAACGCTGGTTCTGGTCCTTCAGATAATCCCCAGCCGGCTCACGAACATGGACCGTGGGGATCCGGAAGTCGTCTCTGTCCCAAACTGTTGTAGAACCACTGGACACAGAAGGTTTGACCTGACAGGGCAGCAGGACAGACTCCTCCCCCTCAAACACCTCCACCTGGAGCCCCAAGGCATGCTGGGAAACTGAGGACAGAGACAAGAAGCTGTCTGTAGAGAAGTTCTGACAGAACCAAGGTTCTCTGTAGGACTTCTAGTGTGATGAGCTCCTTCCAAGGAACTGATCTGGGTCATCCTGGTTCTGTTACTGAGGCAGGATTCTGAAGCCACCACAGCCTCTCCGATGGGACCAGATGATCCACTGGTTCACTATCCTAGATTATAACCCTTAAAGAGGCAGATCAGAAAGCTGCTAGTGGGTCAGAACTGTGCAGGATTGGAACGGCTCTAAACATGGCTTTGAACTCCTGTTGAATTGTTTTTCATTAATCAATATAACGGCCATGGATGATTTATTTATGCAGGTGATATTTGAACTTTTGTGGATGGAGTAATGTAACCTTTTACAGGATGACCTCCTGCAGAGTGCAGAGGTTCACTGTTATATCTGTAACAAATAAACACTGAATGAGCGGAGCAACACAGAGACAAACAGGACAAACAACCATTCACATTCACACCTAAGGAGGATTTAGAGAAGCCAATTAACCTAACAGTCATGATTCTGGACTGTGGGAGGAAGCTGGAGTACCTGGAGAGAACCCACGCATGCTCAGGGAGAACATGCTAACTCTTCTGCATGAACCCAGAACCTTCTTGATGCAATGCAGTAGTGCTACCCACTGCTCCACTGAGCTGACATAGACCACTGTTGTTATTCTAATTAATGTTTTTCTATGCAGAACATAGAGGCGTGTGCAGTTCTTTCATTCCGTCTCTATCGGATTCATTGCTGTCGAACCTGGAGGTGTTCTGGTTAAAGGAATAAAAGCTACAGGCAGCTGGAAGAACTTTGTGTTTACCTAGAAAAACTGCATTAGGAAACGTTTAGTTGTATTCAGCATCTTTTAACCAGTAGGATTTATTATTGGCCAAGAAAAGAAAAAACTGCTGCAGAGCTGAGCCTGTTATTGATGGTCAGTGATATCCGTCCAGTCAGCAGTGTATCCTGAACAAACACTCTAGGCCTGATATTTCCATTAAAAATCTATTTTCTGTTGTAATATTTTAATGTTTTAAGGAGTTTTGTGTTTTCATTTTCTGTTCCCATAATCACCAAAAAATACTACCGGTAAAAGGACAGTTTGAGGATATTCCACTCTATGTGGGATGGATCTATGTTATATTCATCAGCTTCACTTTTTTTCAGACATACGGACCAAAATATTGGACTTTATTCTGTTAACATTTGAACTCCACCAACTGAGAAATGATTAAAATAATGGTTCTGGATTTCTACTTTACTAACAGCCTTCCTGAACTCGGATGGATTCTAATCAAATTAATGATCCTCATGCGGACAAAGATTTAACAAAGTGTGAGACATTCAAATAAAACCATCAACATTTACGATCATATTAAACCTTCATAATCAATCAATAAACAACATGTATAGATTTGTGCTCATATCTATTTATAAAGATTCTACAGTTGTTTTTCTAAACCTGTCTCTATGACATCATAATTGCTCATAATGACAGACAGAGGTGAACAGAGCCATGGATGGCTGAGCAGAGGTCACTTACTCAGCAGGACCACCAGCAGCTGCTGCAGGAACATCTCAGGCCTTCTGCTCCAAACTCAGACCAGCCAGAACCTCCTCTGGATCAGGTTCTGGTTCCGTTCCAGCAGGTTTTCGCCACGTCTCTGAACAGTGTCCGCATGTTTGTGAGCTGAGTCTGTGAGGCGGAGCCCAGATCAGCTCAGACCTTCTAATCCTGAGGGCAGAACACCTGTACCGGCTGGATGAGACAGGTGTTCCAGTGGGCGTGGCTTTGAACCAGGCAGAAAGAAAACAATGAGAGCTGTGGAATACACACCCCTCTGATCAAACAAATAACTCTGATTAAAGAACTACAGATACCCGACATTAAAGGACTACAATTCCCTCTGATATTAGAGGACTACAAATTGTTACATGTTTTTAAACTTATTTTATGCTCTAATTACACTAATGATTTGAGTTTTTTTAGCTATGAGTTATTCATTTCCAGTTTTCTTTCTTTAGAAGCACCATAGAAATAAAAAAATAATAATTTTCACTTATTACAGTGTAAGGTTTAAATACTGCCTTTAAAATAATTTTAACCCATTTTTCTCTTTCTTCTTGTCGCACTCTTTTTTCTCCTTATGGTAATTTGACCATGATCAATATGCACACCGAATCCGCTGGTGCCACCCGGGATAAATCCCGCTCTAGGTTATCTATGTGTCAGCAAAATCAAATATCTTTTGGTGATATTTACGAGAGTTCCTCGTTGTACTCAACAGCAGCCCTCTGTGTATTACTGCTGCGTGAGGGTCTTGTATTTTCAAGTGGAAAAACCCAAATCTACCTTTAATTATGTGAAAGGACGGAGCGGACTCAGGGGTCTCTGGATTGTAAGGAGAGGGCTCAGGGGTCTCTGGAAAGGACGGAGCGGACTCACATGCCTCAGAAGAGGGGTCACTGATTCAGGAGAGGAAATTGATTCCGGTGAAGGAGCAGGGCGTCATGGAGGTGATGACTGAGACCACATGGGAAACTGACCTGGCTGACCCATCGAGGAGGCCATGGCAGCTTCAGAGCTTCAGACTGACCCATCGAGGAGGCCATGGCAGCTTCAGAGCTTCAGACTGACCCATCGAGGAGGACGTGGCAGCTTCAGACTGACCCATCGAGGAGGACGTGGCAGCTTCAGACTGACCCATCGGGGAGGCCATGGCAGCTTCAGACTGACCCATCGAGGAGGACGTGGCAGCTTCAGACTGACCCATCGAGGAGGCCATGGCAGCTTCAGACTGACCCATCGAGGAGGCCATGGCAGCTTCAGGCTTGACTGACCATGAGGAGGCCA